AAAAGGGGGAAAAAACTTAAAAAGGGTATAGATTGTTTGAAAGAGTTTGCATGAAAAGATTATATTGTTCGCTTGTTTTTTATGGACTGCTGTAAGTGTAACTAAAGAAAATATATTAGTCTCATTTACTAGTTGGAGCCAATGCTTTTTTGTAGAAAGTTAAGACAGTTCTTTAAGGTGGTAAGAACAAGCATCATTTAGTAACTAACTGTCCAAGATTAAATTGCATAAATTACAAAAATATTCAGAGGAGAGAACTCTCCATGATTTCATTTTATGTTGAAATTCTTGAAATTACAAGAAATAGCTTTGAAGTTTTCATTTTTGTTTTAGATGTTAAGTGGTGTTGATTCAGTGATTGTTATTTTTAGAAAATGCAGAGGAGAGTTTGAAATATGCTTGCAGAGAAACCAGTCAATCCTTTGATGGGATTTTGTAATTTTATTAAGAAGCCTAAGAATGTGTTCTTTAGTAATTAATAGCCTAGCCCTGCTTTTTTGCCTTCCACTGTACTATAAACACTTGAAAAAAGTTTTGTGTTTGATTATGTGTCTAAAAATATCTTAATCATTTTATTATCTCTTGCAAATCAATTGATTGTGTCTGCTTGTATTCAGACATTATTTTGCCACAGCAAATGAATTATTATTGTTATACATAATTAGGTAACTTTTTCAAGAAAAATCATTGATATGTTAAATCCAATGAGCTGAACTCGAGCTTGTTTAGTTAATGAGTCAAGTCAGACTCAGCTCGTTAAGGCTCGAAAATAGGAATTTTTATGTAATTTTTTATAACTCTACTCGTTAATATTGATATATGACGCAAGCTCGAATTTTATCAACTTTAAGCGCGCTAGAATCTGTACCTTAGCTTTGTTTATAATGGTTCCAAAACATGTCATGATAAAAGGATCTTAATTCTAGGGGAAAATCTATTCTAGCATTGTACCTATCTTATAGTTATATAATTTTCTTCATGTCTTATTATCTAATTCATTTAGGGCATAGATATACAATTATTAAGGTTTTATAGCTTCAAGAGAGCATGCACAATTTATTATTATTATTATTATTATTATTATTATTATTATTATTATTATTATTATTATACGTAAATCACGTTTTAGAATAAATCTTAGTTAAGAAGTAAAAAAAGGAAAATAAGGAAAATCACCTTAAGATTCTTACATGTACTTGGTTACATTTGTATATATCCATTAAGTCATGTATATTTATTTTTGCTATAATAATTGTTTTTGCCATCATTAGTTCCAATCAATGAATATAATTCATGTGCCACACAGCGTAAGGTTGAGCCACTTGCTGAATCACACACACACAAAAGAAAGGAAAAAAGATAAAAATCCATCCAAAAAAGTTGAATTGTCACAACAAGAATGTCTAAATTGCTTTTAAAGGATGTAGCAAACATATTTTCCTCTTGTTATTATATTGAAAGCATTTATGAGAATCGNATTATCTATTTTATGTCCGTGAAATTTGGTCTATTCGTCATTAGAAAAAAAAATATTATCTTTCAATCATGATATGTTAATATTTCGTTGGATATTTCATATAAGTATGAATAATTTTTTCTGCTATTCTAAAATCAAATTGTATTGCAGGGTAAATTATTTAATATGGATACTTTGTGCTGCAATTTAACCATCCAAAATAATATTTCATGACAGGTTAGCATAATTTAAGCATTATATATTTATTCAATCACTTTAATCTATCAATCAAAATATTTTTTATTTTATTATTAATTAAATCAAATCATTTGACTATCAATAAAGAAAACGGGTTAAAACTTAAACATCCAAGAATGAATTTTGAGTAAATTGACAATTAGATTCTATTGGATAAATTCTTGAATGTATGTAATTTCCATAAACTTGGTGAATTGTTTTGCTTTTCGTAAAAAAAAATAAATAAATGGAACAACTAAATGTAAAGTTTAAATTTGAGAGAGAAAATTTGGTAAAGTCTATAAATTTTGGTACACAAGTTTTGAAATTCATGTTTATTTTAGGTAAGTTATTGAATGCATGTAATTTTGTGAGGTTCGGTACTAGGGGCGTGGCCAGAGAAAAAAATAATCTGGGCTGAGTTTTCAACAAAAAAATAACTTATATAATTCGATATTAAAAAGACAAAATATTAGAAATTAAATTTTCATTGAGATGTTTCATGTTCATTACAAACATTTAAAGTGTTATAAAAAATTGTCTAAACGCCTTTTGCACCTATTTGGGTGCCAGAATTTTCGCCTAGACAACCATTATATGCACTCAAAAGATTAAACGACGTCTACGTGGATTAGGCGGCGCCTGGTGGGCTAAGCGGTTGCGAATTTAGTCACATTTAGATTGGTTGGACTTTCTGGTCGCCCATAATTTCTTTTCAAAAATTTTCAATTTAATTTTTAAAATAATAAAAATAATTTAAATTTTTGAGTGTGAAATATACATTAATTATATAATAAAAATAATAATCACCCTATTAAAATTAACACAATAGGTTTGTATGCATTAAATTTTCATAATATTTGTACTTACATATTAATTAATATAATTTGTGTAATATGTTATAAGGTATGCATAATGATAAGTTAAAATGAATAAAAAAGGCGCATCATATTCATTACCATCTCTCTTCTCATCTTTCCCATATTAGAATTGTCCGTTGGAACTAAATTGAATGCTAAATATGCTTAAATATTCATTAAACAAACTTTTGATAAACCTTAAGTATTGTGAAAATAAACTAAGTAGTGAAACAAGTGTAAGTCATTAATTATAAGTAATATTTTCTGAAGGCAGTTAAAATAAATATTTATATAAAGAAAATATGTAAGAAATAACATTTTAGTTGATTAGTAGAAATATCTAGTCTAGTCTGTTCATAAAAAGAAGAAAATAGAAAAGATCAGTGTGAGTGAGTGGAATAAAAATCTGTCCAATTGAGTAATACTACATTGCCAACCTAGTTTACAACTACGTTGACAACACAAGTGAAACATTCAAAAAAATAAAAATAAAAAAATACACAACTGAATGTTTTCATTTGTGTTGAGGTTGACTATGTATCATTCGTGAGTTGTCTTTTTGTTTCTCTCTCCAAAGTCTACTTGAATGAAGAAAGAAAGAGAAAAAAAAAAAAATTGCTCATGGCCNATTATAACAATGGGCTGAGTTAACAAAGCTTTCTATATACATACACATTCTTTCTGCAAAACAAGCTTCTTTGGAGTGGCTCCGCCCCTGTTCGATACATTATTATGTATTTTTCTACAGAAATTACTTGCTTCGTAACATTTTATTTTTATGAGAAAAAACTATGATAGATAAATCGAGGAATGACATGTAATTTCGAGAGATTCAATGAATTATTTTATATATCTTTTTAGAGATGAATTAATTTGGAATTCTTTAAGTTTGAGAATAATCTACTTAGTGATTGCTTTTTTCCAATGTTTTTAAATCTGGCCCGAGAATCGACATGTACAAGCCCCCGAGTCATCATATCACCAGTTCAAGTGTTGGGTCATCAGGTCAATTGTTGAACTGTGTAATTAATTTTTAAAGTTTTAAAATTATATCTGATGTATTTTTATTATATATTTTTACATAAAAGTAAATGAAAATAAATATTTCGTGTATAAATTTTATGCATCAAAGTGTTAATAATATTGTATCTCATAATACGAAGTCACCACATAAATATATGGAAAAATTTTATTGAAAGGTCTAACTTTTAGTAATTGTATTAATCTAAGGCCTGAATTTTGTACTTTTTCAATAGAAGGCTTATATTTTAGGTTATTCTCACTTTAAGGCTTACATTTTAGTTACCTTTCCATTATAAGACCCAATTAACTTTACCTTTTCTTATAAATATGTAAAACAACTATTATGTGAATAAAATTATTATTATTATTGTTATTTTGCAATTTATATTTTGCATACTTATAATAAAAAATAACAAATATCTTTAGTAAAATTATATTAATAAAGATTAATTTTAACTTTTCTTTTTGGAAGCAAAAGTTGATACTATGTCATTGCTTGTTGAAAATGATATATTTTTGTAGATTGCATTTATATATTATTTTTTAGTTTTATTACATATTTATACTATTAATAAAAATAATATTTCCATTACATATTTTTTTAATTCACTTATCATTTCTTTAAATTATTCATGATTAAACTTTTGCATAAATATAATTTATATAGTTTCGCTATATTATTAAGTAAATATTACTAAAGATATTTATTATAAATATGTAAAATATAAACTAAATAAAAATTTATTTTTGTTCACATAACTATATTATAAAATAAAGTTAATTGGTTCACATATTTATATCAAAATATAAAGTTAATTGGGCCTTACAATGGAAAGTTAATTAAAAAGTGAGCCTTAAATTGAGAATATCCTAAAATATAGGTCTTCTATTGAAAAATAATAAAATTCAAGCCTTAAATTGATACAATATCAAAAAGTTGAGCCTTCTAATGGAATTTCCCTTAAATATATTTATATATACACATAGTGTATATTTCTAAAATAAGAAATATTTAGAAAAAGTATTGTGACCAGGTCAAACCAGGTTGACCCATCGAGTCTATTGTCACTCGGTCTGAAGCATCCACATGGATTGGTCCCGGCTATGAGTCGACCAATGGCAGGTCTAGGTTGAAAAATACTGCTTTTTTCTTGAAAAATATCTATATATATATATATATATATAATTACTAGCTAATAGCATTTAATAAAACCTATTTAATTTTACCTATGTGGCAATTTAACAATTTTCTCTCCAAAAACCGTTACATTTTGATGTATTTAATCTTTCATTTAATCATTAAATAATTAATACTCATCACTTCAAAATTACAAAAATCATTTTAAACTTTTAATTAATGACAGTTGACCATATAATGTGTTGACCGTATAATGTGATTAGATGTTATTATTGTTGTTACATTTAATTTTTTTTTAAAATAAAAAATATATTTGAAATTCCTAAATAAATAATTCACAAATAAAAGACGTACCAAAATATACATTACATCCAATCAGATAAACACAATTTAAAAAAAAATATTCCAACTCTTTTAATTGTAAATTTGGTCTGCAAAAAAGTGAAAGAAAATAATTAATCATAATATGCATACAGACTCATAATAATTTATTTATATTCGTGCAAATGTACAGGTCGAATATTAGTTATATTAATATATTAGTAGTTGACAATGAATATTAAACCATAATTAAAATGTATATAATATAATATTGTCCTCTTCAAAAAATTATTATTTTAAATATAAAAATATTTTATTCTTCAACCAATTTTTTTTCTACTCTTTAATTTACTTGTTTCATTCAAATAATTTTTTCTAAAATAATTTATATCAAATCACACCTATATGATTCAATGATTAAAGAAAGTAACATATAGACCAAAATAAAATTGAAATACTGTCTTTTGTTATTTAATTTAAATAGTCTTTTTGATATTCCGTGTTATTTTACTCTCGTTTGTCTCTGTAACTTTATTCCCTAGAGCAGTAAAAGCAAAACAAACAAGACACAGATAAAGTTGCATACAGGGGAAAATACAGAAAGAGAGAGAAAAAGTAGATGCCCAAAACAGAAATTTTAATTCTGCTCGACTACCATGCGATAATTTGTGGTTTAAGATAAGAAAGATGAAATCTTTTCTTGTTGTAGTGTCAGTATCACCTTAAACTTCCAAAACCTGGGCCGTCTTCATTCAGACCTCTTTCTAGCTCAAAAAGGATCTTTTTTTTTGTTTCTTATTGATTTACCTGGTTTTTTCACAATCCCATGAGCGTGTTCATATGATTTAATGAGAGAAAGAGATTTTTATTGAAGAAGCTGGATATTAGCCTCCACATATGCCTCTTTATCTAAATCTGTGAGTTTGTTGACTGAATTCTTGTTTTTTCTTTTCCTTTTTTATGGGGTTTTTTGCTTCTTGAAAATCTGTTTCCTGGGTAAGCATTAGTTGTTTTCCTAACCTTTTGTTTGAATAGTGTGAATAGTACTTTTGTTAGCCCCATTTGTTGGCTGTATAATTAGGTGGAGTAATTGCTCAAGGGTGGATCCCTTTTTTTTCAAAGCATTCATGTTGAATATTCTGTTTATTAGGTTGTTATATGTATTTGGTGTGAAGATTCCCACTGAATAACAAGATCTGGTCTTAGTATGGCCTCCTTGTGCACCTGAAGCTCATTTTTTTCATTATTATGTTGATTTGTGGTGTACAAATCTATGAAGAAGCAAAGAAGTTTTAGACTTTAGCATCTCAAGAATGGTTTTTTGAGTTTATCTNAATGAGGTTAAAAACCCATCAAATTTGTAATGAGCAACCTGAGAATTAATCAATATTCATAGCAAATGAAAATTGACTATTAAATTAAAGTCATAAGTCATGAGTTTTTTTTTTTTCAAGAGAGGCTTAAAAATCTCGAAAGCTAAAGCAAGAATTGTATAATCAATCACCAAATGATTAGTGGCCTCCCACTCCTAATCCATTTGACTTTCAGAACGTTGAACTAAGAAAAATTTCTTAGGTTTGTAATTCCTTATTTATATCCTTCAAGTAAAACAGGTCCTTACTAATATTCTATTTCTTTCCTACTGAGATTCAGAGGAACCAGCCCTTTTGTCCTGGTCTAGCTTATTCATTTCCTCATCTTGACATTGTTTATAATATCATAAAATTCCAGGGAGTAAGTGGAGATAGGATAAATTTCTCTACAGCTGACAAGAAATAATTTATTTATAAACATGATGTCATTAGCTAAGCAGCAAGTCAACATATGCTGGACAATTAGGTGATACTTAAAATGGTAAGATATGGCTAGTAATTGGAAGAGTCAGCTTTAAAAGTTCTTCAATGGTGAGACTGATAAACATGCCCCCATTGAGCTCTCAGAAAACTAATAACAATATAAAATGTTGTGTTGTCTTGAATAGTTTGTCTCAAATTTTGTAGGATATGCAAGATTTTCCTGGAATGGATTCAGGCACGACGAGCTTTAGAATATGCTTTTAACTGTCTTTCAACTTATCTTGCTTCTCTTTACATCTTTCTCCCCCTTTTCTTTCTTTTTGTTTCTTTTTCTTTTTCAAAGAAAACTTAAATTATGCATTCATCAATGAAGTATTTCGATGTTAATTTAATCTGTTGTAACATTCCATATAAATTCATCTTTGCATCTTGTGATCATCTGAGATATTTCTCCTCAAATTTTTTTAAAAACTTTTTCCCTTTCTTTGTTCATTTCTACCTTTTTACCCTTTTTCTCTCATTTTTTTTTCTTTCAGCTTTGCACGATTCTATTCGGGCCTGTAACTGAACTGAGCTCCCTTTCAGAAAAAAGCATGGCATTAGGAGGACCAAAGAGGCGGTGGAGTTCAATTAACACACTTTGTTTGTCTGGAAAATCGGCCCAACGTTTCTGTTTCTTTTCAAAAGTAAAATCGGACGATAATGATGATGTCAAAAGTACCCCTGTGTACCTAAATGTGTATGACTTGACTCCAATTAATGGTTATGTCTATTGGGCTGGCTTAGGCATATTTCACTCTGGTGTGGAAGGTATTATCATAAGCTCTAAATTTTTTGAGGATTTTAAGTTTGTTTTAAACAAATGCTAAAAAACTTAGGTGTTGTACTTTTCCATAATAAATACTTGTACCATAATATTTTACCCGTACTTTCACAGTACATGGCGCAGAGTATGCATTTGGAGCTCACGACTACTCGTCTAGCGGCATTTTCGAAGTCGAGCCACGCCATTGCCCGGGATTTAAGTTCCGAAAGTCCATATTCATTGGCACAACAAAATTAAATGCTGCCCAAGTTAGGGAGTTTATGGAGCGGCAAGCAGCAGATTACAATGGTGATACTTACCATTTGATTGCAAAGAATTGCAACCATTTTTGCAAGGATGTGTGTTTCAAGCTGACTGGAAAAAAGATACCGAAATGGATAAATCGGGTGGCCAAAATGGGTAAGTTTTTCTCTTGCATTTTAACTTTCAAGAAAGATATAATCATGTGGTTTTTTCCTTGCTTGTTAAAAAAAAATAATAAAAAAATAAATAAATAAATAAAGCAAGCTTTGGAAAATTGCAAAAAAGTTACAAATGGGAACTCTAAGATTTTTTGTGGTTTTTCAGAGTTAGCTGGAAATTTTCCTTACTTTTCACATTTGTTTCTAAAAGATGGGCCAGAAATGAGTAACATTGATACAACAATGCCATCCCAAAAAAATTTAAATATATATTTAAATTTTTTTTTCACCCAATTTATCTTTCTTTATTTATCCATATAGGGTCGATGTTCAACTGTGTCCTTCCGGAAACTCTTAAGATTAATGCTGTCCAAGTCCAACACAACCTTAAAGAACGGTCTTATAACGATAGTGAGAAAAGGAGACTTAGTAGTAGTAGTTTCAGTTGTCTTTCGTCAATATCTTCAAGGCAAAAACACTTGTCGACTTCTTCACTGTTGCTACAGTCCCCATTGAAAGGGTGCTTATGCCCGTGGGAATTAAAGAGAGGTCCATAAATGGTTCCTTTTGAAGGAAATGTAAAAGCATGAATTTGAAAATTGTTGGTTGAAATATATTCAGAATGGCCCCTCGTTGTTTTCCATGATTTTGTCGGTTTATCTATGTTTCATGCAAAACGAGCCAATGGATATATCAGCTTTTGGAGGTCATAATGTGATTATCGTGAATCGTGATGCAAAATTTTTTATTTTATTTTATTTGATTTTTTGCAATCTCCCTTGCTATAGGGGTGTGCAGTATTCTTCTTATGTTAGTGCCAGATAATGTATAAATTAACTAGCTAGCTTTTATACCTAGAAAATGCATCACCAAGTTTGTGATTTGTGTGTTGCTGTATTTGTTGTGTGTGGAATTGTTCTTGTTGGTGCAAATCATCATAAGGGAATGTAAATTTTCATGTACAGTCTCTCTCTCTCTCTCTCTCTTTTATCTTTTTTGGGTTTTGTAATTATTCTTGCAAGACAAATAAAACATTTTACAGACAAAAATATTACATCAGATTTTGAAGTAGTGAAAATATATTTATAGATTTAAATTAAATATTCCCACCCAAAGCTGACTTCTGCATATTATGCTAAGCTAACTTGAGCATAGTAATACAAGTTAGCATGACATCACTTTTATAGAAAAGAAATCAAGAAAAATGTCTAGTGAGTAGGAGCAATGTGAGGAAAATTGTTTCTTAATTTTGATGGTCTGATGAATTAAAAACAAACTGGTGATGGTTATGTAGGAGAAAAGGCAAGGTAGGTAAAAACACAGGTGGTTGGAAAAGAAATCATTAAAGATTTGTAGTCTATAAATAAACAGTAATTTAGGTAGCAAAAAATAAATAAATTACAAATTTATTACTGTAAAGATCAAAATGCCAAAAAGGTTGAGAAAAAAATGGTATATGAATTATTGATGGTTGGTTCCTACTTGCTATAGTAATTTTAGTTATCTCGTTGACTCATGAACAATAATACTGCTAATGTGGTATATGAATAGAACCAAATTCAGAAACAGACTTATATAAAACAAACAAACAAACAATAACTAAATAAACAAGAACAGCTCAATTCAAAGCCTCAAACATGAACACCATTGTTAAGAAACTTGATACTGATAAGCTCTGAATTATTAATGTTTGAAAGAATCAAAAATTGATAAATAATAATATGTAAAAAAGCAGGGACAAAGCCTAATTTTTAAGTCCTGGTATAAAAATGCATATTACACCAGTACTTGAACAAAGTGAAAGCTGCAAAGTCCACCACCATTAGATAGGCTTCTTTCTTCTTCCAGTATCTGTTTAAGCCAATCCCTCTAATTTGTCACAATTTATAAGCTATCTATAGCTCTTAAACAATCCCACCCGAGCCCGACCAGTATTACGTATACCCAGAAAAACTTAAACAGTTAGAAATCACATAGAAAACAAGAAAAATGTTTTCTTTTCTTCCTGCAAAATATCTATCTGCTTTTCAATTTACTATTTGGATTA